ATCTTTAATTTATCCATCCAACCATCTATCTATCCATCCACCCGGCTATCCAGCCAGCCACTTACCTACTTATCTATGAAAATAACAGCTTCTGGGTAACTATGGCTCATTGTTTTCATGCAGAGAGCATATTTTAAAGAAGTGGGTTTATTCCTTTTTTTAAAAAAATCAATCATAAAATTATCTTCCAGATCGTTTAGAGTGAGTAAAGAACAGTGATGTTAGTTTGGAATGCTGGGTCCTTAGGGCAAGCATCTAGCTGGAGACCAGTGATACCACCTGCATTAGTTTTGCTGAAGTCTCTGCCTGGGTCTGGTTCATTGGTGGGCCATGGGTGGTGACTTCTCTGATATGTCATTTCATAACCTGTTTGCAGAATAAAGGTTGCAGGAGATAAAGGTATTAGAATCCTTTCTACTTACCCTTCTAGTAAAGATACTTTTTAAAGGGGATCTTTCATGTCAGAAATGGATTCAGGTTTTGTGGAACCTTAGGATTATACAACTCTGTAGATCTTCTTTAAGAAATAGCATATGAAAGTGGTTATGAAAATCTTATTTAGAATTAGAAAAGAATTCTCAATAAATTATAATTAAAAAATGCAAGTCTCACAAACATCACAGAATCCAGAATGCAATGTAATATTAATTAACTGCTTGACACATCTCTATAGTACCTTCTTTCTATATTTTAGCTTTGTACTCTTGATTTTTCTTCTTATATGCCAATGACTTTTAAAGATAATTTTTCGTGAATAAAATAGAAAGGTTATTCAATCTCCTAGTATGTTTAATTGAAATTTTTTTATTGATAACTGGGATGAATAAAACATTCTGAACTTTCCTTTAGCTAGACCCACAAAAATCCAGGTAGCCAGTCCAACTACACCGGACAGCAGAAGAATTCTGTTGGAGGAAATGTTTGTGTGGATCAATACAGAAGTCTTAACAAATTGCAGAAAGTATAAAAAAAGGAATCCTCCTTATTTGTGAATTCTGTATTTGTGGATTTGCCTGCTCATTAAATTTATTTGTAACTCCAAAATCAATGTTTGCGGCACTTTTGCGGTGATTCATGGACATGTACAGAGCAGCGAAAAACATTGAGTTGCCCAGTGTGCCCGCTCCCAGCTGACGGTGATGGAGGCAGGGCTCTGCATTCTCGTTTGAGCTCTCGTGCTGTGAACAATTGTCTGTTTTGCAGTCTACTTAATGCCACATTTTTTACATTTTTGTGTTTTTTGTTGATTTTGCTGCTTGAAATGTCCCTGATGCTTGGTGCTGAAGTGCTGGCTGGTGTTCCCAAGTGCAAGAAGGCTGGGATATGCCTTATGGAGAAAATACATTGTATTATCTATTTTATTGTTCATCCTCACCTAAGGATATGTTCTTTTAAAAATTGATTTTGGAGAGAGAGAAGAAGGGAGGAAGAGTGAGAGAGAAACATCAGTTAACTCCCATATGCACCAGACTGCAACCTAGGACTGTGCCCTGACTGGGATTCAAACTCACAGCCTTTTGGTGTACTGGAGGCTGCTCCAACCAACTGAGCCACCCGACCTTGAAACAGAGAGCGGGTAGGTTGCCTCATAAAAACAGGCAAAGGAGAAAAAGAGTCTAAAGTGGGAAAGCTCAGTTTTATGAGAAAAGTCCCTCATTCCCCTGCGTAAGGAGGAGAGGAAGGTGGTAGGAGGAAGGACAGAGGGTGTTCCTGGTGAGGTCTCTCCACATCAGGGATGTGGAAGCCTCCACTTCTATGGATAGGGAAGCAGAGTCGGTTGTCAGTTGTAAAATGGGGAGAGGGAGGCTGGACATGTAAAAGCAACACACCTCCTTTTTAAGAAACAAATAAAGCTAGTTGTATTTTAGAAAATATGTTTTAACTTCTTTGTTAGTGAGGCTGATGCATTTTTCACATTTTTGTTATCACATTGCATTAGTTCTTATGTAAATTGTCTTTTCATGAGTCATTTTTTAAAAGCCCATTACAAATGTACCCCATGGGAAAGAAATATGTGTCATGGGGCTGGGCAGGGAGTGATGTAGAGAAAGCTTTGGTGAGGATGGGGAAAACACTTCATTGCTTCCTGTCATTTTCACCCACGATGTAAAGCTTCAATTCGTAAGGTCAATGTGCTCTTGAGAGGGTCTAAACTTTTTTTTACAAATGTCTTCACACCCTCACTCCTCTCTCTCCCAGGTGAGCCCGAACCGAGGCCGAGCCTCCACATTCGCTTTGCCTCGACCACACTGAGGAGATGAGCCTACTGAGGAAACCCCACAGCCCGTGCAGTGGGAATTACTGTGCGCTCCGCTGGGCCCTCAGCTGAGCCCTCAGCACAGCCTTGCACACTTACTCAGCTTCTCCAGAGAGCTTGCTCTCATTTTCTGCAACTTCTTACCTTTCACTCTCCTCGAAAGAGCGACACACACTCCCACACATCCCCCACCCACTCTCAGCAATGACTGCGGTGTAATGCTGCCGAGAGAAAGCTGAAGACATCCATTAAGAAGCACCTTACCTTCCTACCTCCACATCCACAAACTGCTTGCATTTGCACCTGCCTTCTCCTCCTTCCTCCTGATAAAAATGAGCAAGCAGCTCTCCTGCCAAAAGTTGATCACAGGTACCCTGAATGCCTCCTCCCTCCCTCCTTCCCTCCCTCCCTCCCTCTCTTCCTCTCTCCTTCCCTTTCTCCTTTCCTCTCTTCTTCCTTCTCGGTGTGACACTTCAGCAGAAGCTTCCTCAATGCACGCATCTCTACTCCAGCATATAAACATACTACCCTCCTCCAAACCCTCCCCAACCCAACCTGACTTCCCCTTGCACCCTATCTTACTATTTCCTCAGAGGAAACTTTAAAAAAACTGTTGTTGAAAGTATTACATATGTCCCCCTTTTACCACCCACTGTCTGGCTCCATGGGTTATGCATATATGCAAACAAGATCTTTGGTTGATTACCTCCCACCCATCCAACCTTCCCCATCTTCCCTCCAAGATTCAGAGGAAACTTCTTAAAGGGGCTTTCTCTTTCCATCTCTATCACCCTTTAGGCTGAAGGTAGGTATTAAGGGCAGAGAAAGCTCCCTAGTGTGCTCAGAGGTCTGGAGAAATGGTCTCCAGGCTGGTAGTCAGGAGTGACTGTACTGGGTATCTCCCAGGAATCTCCATATTTACTAGGTGCTCCAGGTCACTACTATTGTTTCCATGATAAAGACACAGAACATTCTTCTTTTAATTGGCCTTAAATAGTTTTTAAACACTAAAATCTTGGTAGTCACCAGAGGCTAGGGCAGTGCTGGTGAACCTATGACACGCGTGTCAGAGGTGATACGCGAACTCATTTTTTGGTTAATTTTTCTTTGTTAAATGACATTTAAATATATAAAATAAATATCAAAAATATAAGTCTTTGTTTTACTATGGTTGCAAATATCCAAAAATTTCTATATGTGACACAGCACCAAAATTAAGTTAGGGTTTTTCGAAATGCTGACACGCCGAGCTCAAAAGGTTCACCATCACTGGGCTAGGGACAGGGTGGGTGGGGGTCAGGGGATAGGGCATAACCGCTTAACATGCACAGGGGCTTTCTTTATGGGTGATGCGAATGTTTTGGAATTAGGTAGAGGTGATAAAAAGTGAATATACCAAATGCCACTGAATTGTGCACTTTACAATGGCTAATTTTGTGTTCCATGGATTTCACCTTAATTTAAAAAATCTACTAAGAAAGAAAAGCAGACCTTATTTAGTGCTCTGTAGCAGAAAATGCTTAATCATATTTTGATCGGTTACTCATTAGAGAATAAAATTATAATTAATTAGTGAGAGAGATGGGTTCTTATACTATACATGAATAGTCTAGAAGTTTTCTTGATAAACAACATGTTGGTCCATGAGGATTCAGTAATAAAGTAAACTTTATTTATATCTAACTTGGCCTGGGGTCTATTATTTATCTTCATTGGGCCTCTAGGAAGGAAAATAAAGTAGTATTTTGAGCTATATGAAAAAAAGTGTTTTATTATATCCTTTAACCATTTTGGAAAGTGCTGTTTGCACACAAGACACTAAGTATTAAAACTCTTATATAAGTAAACTATATAAAACCTGGAAAGAAGAAGAAAGACTATAATTATTCAGCAATTTCTAGACGATTTCAGCTTCAGTTTCCTGCCACCTCAATTTAAGATGGAGGAGAGCTGCCCATTGGGGACTAATTTGCATTGACAACAAGCTGTGCACTAATGGACCCTCTGCCAAAGCCAAGATGATGAATAGGATCGTTGCTGCATATTCTTTACTAAGGCTCCTTAATGCATTTAACCTCATTCGGGTATTAGTCTTAATAAGCTTCCCAAACTTTGACTACTATTGTTCCTTAGAGTATTAATAAGACACAGAGAATTGCAGATTGTGTGCCATTGAGTAAACAAATTTATATTAGAAATCACGATTTAAACAAATAATTTAGGAAAAGGAAAGTCATACCACTGGCTGGGCAATCTTGATATTATCTTCCCAGGATATGAAAAATACCCTTCATTTCTGGTGCATCTTCCCCAAAGCAATGTCTGAGTGTATTTGCCCAAACCAAATCACCCCTTTTGCTTCTCTGCATCAGGGGAAAGTCGGCTGCCTGCATGAACCTGATTTTCCTGGGTTGGGAGGCTTCCCCAGGGCTTAGGATGACCTCAGGTCTGGCAGGTGGATTGTCACAGGGGTAGACTCTTCACTGGGTGCTCCCTGTCGCACCTGCCATTGATTGTCCACTTGCCCTGTGCACCTCCCATCTGCCGGCTTGTTCATTCCGCACAGACAGCAGTCCCGACTTCACAAGCCAGAAAACAGTCCACGCATCCAGAAAGTGGGAGCGACATGCCAAACTTGGGTTGGTAAAACTCTTAAATATTTTATTCTCTCAGTGGCACAAACCCCTCTTTGCTGGGAATTTGCAAAAGGAAAACATCCTTTCCTTTTCCAGACAGACTGGGAGTAGCATGGCGGCTTCCTGTTTTCCCAAGGGTTGGGCGCGCCTGTGCCCAATGACCGTGGAGGACCTGGGCGATGGAAGACGGTGCTGGCCTCCTGCCTTAGAAGAGTGTATTAGTGAACTTGAAAAGAGGATTAGAGTTATTGACGTGGCTCCCTGACACTTTCTAGGAAAAGGTAAATATTGCTGTTTTTCATATAGAGAAACATTAAGGCAAGAAAGAAGTATTTAAGAAGTGTCTCCCAGAGTCAGGGAGGTGGGAGGGGGATGATGGCAGGAAGCCAAATGTGAATTTTTGACTTTCAGATTTCTTACTTTAATGACTACACTATATTTGCAAACATTAACATGTCTCTTAAGCTTTTGGCAAGAAGTTTTAAAACATCAAAATTCAATTCTCTGCCAATTAACAGTCATTTAATTTAGGAGTACCTGAGTTTTCTGATTTTAAGGTACTTCTGGACTAGAAACTCAGATGCCATAGTTTAGCCCAAAGCTAATTTTTTTATGGACAAATTATAACCTTTCCAATAGACCTTGAACTGCAGTAACTCTCCTTTGCTGGTATAACTATAATGAGCTTTGATCCTTTGCTTGAGTGTGTTCTATACCTGGACTCGAATCTGTAATGAATCATCAGCTGGAGTCCAAGTTGCCATCTCAGGAGGACAGCTGGGCGAAAAGGTCAGGGGAAATTGGTCTTTGTTTAAAGTGGCTCCAGCAAAAACACCTCATTTAAAATCTGCTGGAGGTTGGCATTTTCTCTTCTTTATCTCAGTGCCTGCATTCTGATGAGCAGGGCAGGAGAGAAGCAAAATTGTGTAAATGTAATGAGATCTAAGGAGCTAAGAAACCCCAGAAAGCGAAGAGACAATATATTACATTTTAAATACTAGATTGTGTTTTGGATATCGTGGGGATGTTTTTGAACTAGTGTTACTTAATATGACACTTTCAGATAAATTTGGATGGTGATGAGTCACATTCAAGTTTAGGGTATTTGTGTGTCTATGACTAAGCTTTGTCCAAATTTTTCTACAAGAAGAAATCCTGCTTCTTAGAGTCAAGCAGGATTCAAGGTTTCCAAAGATGAAAACAACCTAAATGTTTACTGCAAAGTGGCAGGTTTCAATCTTCCTAGTTTTAGTGTAGTGATTGGAGAGATAAAATGATTACATTTAAATGGAGCTCCCGACACAGTGTCTTACAGGTAGTTGAGGCCATACATCTGTTTGCTGAATGAATGTATGAATATATAAATACATAATAAAGTGTGACAGGACCAACCAGGTTCCTTCTGTGTCACATTGACTTTTAAGTTGAATCTAAAAGCACTCTCAAGGTCAATATGACTATACTACAGAAATAATCCTTGGGCAAAATAAGTTCTCTCTGTAAGAATTCTGGCAGAGAAAATCAGTGTTGGTGTCCTCAGAGTTTGGTTAGCAGAACCACTAAGGCCTTCTGAGAGTAAAGACAACCTGCTCCTTAGACTCTAGTAGGACACGTGTGGGTAGTCTCCCTACTTCCAGTTATGACCCTATGACTGGAAAGGAGAAACCCCCTACAAGAAAAAGTATTTTCATACAAAGATTCATCCAAATGCTAGGAATCTTCTTACAAGGATTTCCTATGGATTCAAGAAGGTGTAGACGCTCTGGGTGAGTCACTGTGAGAAAATTCATAGCTCCCTGAAAAAAACCCGAGTCCCTAAAACTGAACATGTGAGGAAGAATAGAAATCACACCATGAGCTTTGAAATCAGAGTTTAAATAAAAACACAATCCTTAGCTACAACTCTTACTTGATTTATTTGAGACTTAATTTTTTTATGTGTAAAATGAAGGAAATAAAGCCTACTCTTTGGAATGGTATAGTAATATATGTAAAATTATTAGTATAATACATTCTCTTAGGATTTGCTTGATAAACAGTAACTATTAATAATACTAAACAGATGCACATCCTACCTTGAAATGTTCATTACCTGCCTCTACTCTTTAAACAGTCACACAATTTTATTGTGCATCTACTATAAGTCATAGTATGCTAGGTATCACACAAAAAGTGTTGACTAAACAGCATGGCTCCTGTTCTTATGGAGTTTATGATGTAGGAGGAGAGGGACTTCAAACCAGTAATCCTTAGGCAGAAAAAAACAGAAAATGTGAAATGAGCATTGATGATCCAATAATCCAAGCTTTATTATTTTGAGCTGTTTTTAACCATTCCCACCCCCCTCCTTTTTTTATCCAGTCTCTTTCCATGGACTCTAGAGAAATTCAGAAGAAATGTAGTACTATCCATTTCCCTAAAATTAATAATTTTAAAGGCTTGAAGAAAGCTTAAAATGAGCAATTCAATATAGCAATCAGTATTCTTATTGCATACTAGAGGCCCAGTGCATGAAAAAAAATACATTCCCAAGGCTGACATCTTCCCTTCCACTTACACAGTGGAGGGTGGGGTCCCTCAGCCCAGCCAGCCCCCTCTCACAGTCCGGGAGCCCTCAGGGGAGGGAGGTGACCCGGCAATCAGGGGAAGGCGATGCCCCATCACACCTCTGCTGCTGCCACTGCCGGCAGCGAAGCCTCGACCGGACCTGGTTACCTGAGCCTCAGGTGGCCCTGGGCAGCTGAGGGGCTGAGGGGACTGGGGAATTCCAGAGGCAGGCATGCTGGCAGGGCTGGCTGCCACTGCCGGCAGCGAAGCCTCGACCGGACCTGGTTACCTGAGCCTCAGGTGGGGCAGTCAATTAGCATATTCCCTCCTTATTGGCTGTGGCGCCACCATCTTTGAGGGCGGGGAAGTCAATTAGCATATTCCCTCCTTATTGGCTGTGGGCGCCACAATCCTTACAACAGTGTGAGGGTCAATTACATATTCCCTCTTTATTAGATAGGATAATTGTTCCACTTCACTGCCATTTTTTAAATTCCCAAGGACACCCTTTTTTTTTTAACTGTTTAGTATCATAATTCAGCTCAACTTATAGTAAATTAGATGTTAAGTAATCTTTTTTTGTTTTTCTCAATGTCTGACCTGGGATAGATTATTTATTAAGAGAATACTATCAATGTCTGGTGTCAATTTTTCCATGTGTCATTAGAGTTTCTTTATTGGTTTTGCTAGTCAATGTGACTAGCTGATGAATGGATCCAGAAATAGAATGTAACATCTGTGACCAATCCAAATCTTCCAACATCCTGATCTGTTTATCAGAAACCTAAGCTGTTAAAAGAAGAAAGCAAAAAAGAAGAAAAAAAATCCAAAAAGACAATCATTCTATCTAATAATAGACAAACATGGTAATTAACTGTACCTCCGACAGGCTTCCCATTGGCTAATCAGGGCGATATGCAAATTAAGTGCCAACTAAGATGGTGGCCGGCAACCAGGCAGCTGAAGCGAACAGGAGGTTTGCTTGCTCCAGTGATGGAGGAAGCCAAGGTTCCCCGCTGCCACTGGCCCGGCTCTAAGCTCCGAAAGCAACAAAGTTTCCATTATAGAAGCTAAACAAACCCCAGATACCTGCTTTCTGCAGGCCGTGTCCTCAGAGCTGGAGCAGCCGGCTCTCAGCTCCAGTGATGGCAACAGAGTTTCAATTATAGAATGTAAATAAATCCTAGAATAAAAAAGAAAAAAGAAAAG